GGTGCTTGTCGACACCCGGCTGTGGCTTCCCTCCGCCCACCCCGCGCCAGCTCCCAGCCCTGCCCTCCCTGCCCACATATTTTTACTGCTGCTTGGAGCCAGCTTGGGACAGTGTCAGAGCTGCCATGTCAGCCAGCGCTTCCCACTGGCGCAGCTACCTGGGGGCAATAGTGTCCCACGAGAGGCAGCGGCTGGGGAAAAAAAAAGACCCTGCTGGAGGATGTCCATGCCAGGGACCCCCGCTTCCTTGTGGACTACGCCAGGAACCTGGAAGCCTTCGAGTTTGCTCTCTGCACTTCCGAGGATGCTGTCACCGTGGAGGTCCCCCTGAGGATCGACGGCGATGCCCTGCGGGTGCTGGCATGCTGGCCCGGGGACACCCCAGCCGGGCACTGCCTGGGGCTGGGCACCTTCTGTCTGGAAGTGCCCTCTCCAGGGACTGACTTGGAGGACTGGACCAGCGCCGTGGGTGTAATGGAGCAAGGAGGTATGGGGTGCCTGGTTCCAGGCAAAGTCCTCCAGCACCTGAAAGAGCTCCTTGTTTCAGCCATCGTGCGCTGCCAACGCCTCTTCCTGTTCCAGCCAGGTGCGTATGCTGGCGGGGCACTTCCCCAGCTGGGAGCTGCCTCCAGCACAGCTGGGGAGCCCAGCTTGGTGGTGGTCCCTGCGCAAACGGGCTGGTGTGTAAGTCCTTGGGCATGTGGCCCTGCTGTGCGCTGGAACAGGCTTTGCCCTCAGCTAAGGAAGGGGAGATGCAAACTACTCTATGCCATCCCACGGCAGCAGAGTCATCCTCAGGCATCTTCACCTTGGGCTGATGGCACCCTCCTTGGTGGGTGGCAGCTCCGCACAGGATTCACCCACCCCTGCTGTTAGTCCCTGGGGAGGGTTTGCTCAGGGACTTGGTATGCTTGGCTCACCCTAACCATGTTCCTCCTGTGTCTACTGGCCTCCAATGCTCCCCGGAGGAGGGTGTTTGGAGGGTGAGCTGGAAGCGCGTCAGGGCTGGACTGGGACCTTGGGGCATGGGTCTGACCCTGCGCACACACGGGCCCCAGCTGGGCTTGGTGTCCTTGAGAAGGACATGGTGGGGAAGGGACCCTAGGAATGCCCATAGGGGTCCCATCAGCTTCTTCATGCATTGCTATTTCTAAAGGTGCTTCTTGAAGTAAATCTCAGCCCTGATGGAAAGGTGATGCGAGACGACCAACAGGTCTGAAAGTCTCCTAACCCAGCCCTAGCAAGCCCACCATTCCCTCCTTCCTCCATGGCCAAGCCAGAGCCCTTCATCTTCCTCTACCCTCACAACCTGAGACCTTTCTTCGTCCGTTTTTCTTGGACCACATTGTCTTTCTTGGTACTGTTTAGCCGCCCAGCAGCATGGCCCTGTTCATCCTCTGCTCAGGGCTCCCTGCTGTGCCCACACCTGCCAGCCTGGTCCTGAGCCCCACGGGAGCGATGCTCCTTCCTGAAAACCACCCCAGCGTGGTTTGGGGAATGGCTTTCACTGAGGAACCACAGCCAAACCACAGCATTGGAAAGGGCTAAGTCGAGCAGGGTGGGACAAGCCCATGGGCGTTGCGGCACATACCTGGCTCAGCCTGTGGGACGGGCTGCAGTAACCTCATAACCGCAGCCAAACCCTCCGCATCTAGGTGACCTCAGCGCCAAAAATCTGCAGGAAGATGCCATGGAGCTTTCCCTGCTGATCCGTGGAGGCTGGAAGACCGTCCGCTTTGACATTGTCCCTGTGGTGAGGAGGCGACAGGAGCCGCTCTGGCTCAAGGGGCGGCAGAAGGACAGGGGCTTCCCCGAAGGCAGCCTCCGGAGGGCCACCGAAGAGGCCCACTTTGTCCCTGCCTCTGTGCATCACTGGAGGTGAGCGGCTCGGCTGTGCGAGTAGCGGGGCGACCGTGCCTCGGGGATCCCGCCTGGCTGGCAGCACTGCCAGGTGTAGGCAAAAAGGCGATGGGAAAGTGGAGGAACATGTCAGCAGGGGGCTGAAGTCACCACCTTGTGATGCCCAAACCCACTGCCCTGTGTCGGGGGAAAAAGCTCAGCCAGATTTCAGGCAGCTGAAGGAAAGAGGGGGGGGATTGTTCGCAGGAGCTGAACCCCAGCCACACGGAGGGGGACAGCTCTCTGATCCCTGCTCAGGCTTCAGGAGCAAGCCTGGGCATCCGGCAGCAGCAGGGTGATGAGGTGCCTTCCGGGGCGGGCTGTGGGTGGGAGGGGGGCCAAGGTGACACACACCTCGCCTGCCAACACAGCTACCCCGCCCCCA